TTTATGATATGCGTGGGTGTTTATTTCTTTCATATGGGCTTCTGTGATTTATTTCAGATTTTTCCCTCATGATCTAAGGTTGTTTTGCACTCTCCGTGCTTTGTTTTGACTGGGCTCTTCCTTATTTGGATGGCAATTGGTCTTCGCAATCTGCCAAAGTGCGGATCTTGGTTCCGATGGCCGGTTCCCTGTGCATCGCCACCCTCACATGTCATTATATGTACATGATGCGGATTTCTATATTCCCGTCATGGGTATAGCTTCACAACGGCTGGACCGTTTGGGCTGAAAATTTGCATAACTATAGTTCCCCATTTTTCATAATTTCTGTGTAAATTTCGTTGTATGTTTTAATTATGGATCCTACGCAAACATCGTCTTTTCCCTGAGCTCGGACTTTTGATGTCACTATTCCTGTTATTGGATATCTCATTAATGCATGATCCTTTTATTATGAAAATTTGGGAGGATTAAGATTAGATCCCTTCCTTTCTAATGGGCTATCAAGCTTGTCTCGGTCGTTACTGGTTAATCTTCGCGCTTGCCTTTTAGACATTGTCCTCGTTTTGCAGGAGTTTTAGTCATATCTCCATCGTTTATGGGTAGTTTCCCCTGTAATTACTCTCATTGGGTCCGTTTGGGGGACATCTACATTTCCTATTATAAACACGACTTTGAATTTTGCATTAGTTCCTGAGGAATCCTTGTTCCATGGTACTTCCATCCTTGGCTACATGTGCAGATGTGGGAAAGTAGTTTCCGTGGAGGTTCTCTGATTGTTTTTATAGTCAAATCTTGGTCGATTGTCCTAATTCTTGGTTTAATATTTGCTATAAATTCCCCCGAGAATTCCGTCTTGTTGATGGTAAGCTTGAAGTATTTTTGCTATTTTTCTTTCTTTCGATTTATTGCGTATAGTCATAATAATTCGTAATAATTCGTTAAAATTTGTTAAAATTCGTGTCCTTCTGTTTTCTCATATCTACTTGTCGTATGAGGTTTTGTGATTTATCTGGCATATTTCCATAATGGGTTTCCATAGTGTGACCATTATTTCTCCTACACTGTTATCACTCCCCGTCTCTCCTCCCCCATTTTCCCCCTTCTCTCTATCTCTATTTCTATTTCTATTCTACGGTCGATTTCCCTTTCTCCATGTACTACTACATACCTAACCCTGCCCCCCTGATCGCTGCACGCGCCGCACACACTCCCACCTACTGAGCAGCCACCTCTGGGATCTTGTCAGGGTTCAGCACCCTGCCTTAGGGTGCCCCGGACTCCCCACCTACTTTACCCCCTTTTATTCTTTGACTGTTGCCTTGTTGTTGCCTTTGTGTGTTGTGTACACGCGCGCGCACAGGATAGCATGGGAACTTTCTGAGCGAGCAGCTCGCCCAGAATGTTCCCACAGTTCTGGGCAAGCAACTCGCCCAGAACGTTCCCACGCTTACTGGGCACTGCCACCTGGATGTTCCCTCCGGGTCACACTACACAACTCTAGGAGCTGTATAGCTGTGGGCATGTGACCCATTCCTTTATATAGCAACCATGCGGGGAGATGAGACCTTTACCCTTCTTCTCATCTCATGCCCCGCATAGGCAAGTGTATATATTATCTTTCCTTTTACTATACATCTCATGCCCCACATAGTGTGAGGACAGGTTAGATGGGGGTTGAGGTCAGGGAGCCTCCGAGTCCGAGGCTGGGCCCTGACAGATCTCCTGCAGAGACACCCAGGGAGGTGTGGCTGTGTGCAGAGATGACATGGCTTCCTCCATGTGACCCTAGCCGCATGTATATAATAGTGCCTGGGGTGGGAACAGAAGAAGCAGCCTTCTTCTCAACTTCCCACTTCAGGTAAGTACCGTAGCTTCTCCCCCTTTAATGATAATCTCAACTTCCCACTTCAGCCTAAGTGGTCGGGGATGCTCACCCTGCGATGGGATCGCCGCTATGCACAGCCACTATCCATCCCACCGAGTCCCACGCGCAGGGACCTCACCGCTTTCGGAGCTGTCCCTGACACAATACAATTCGTTCAAACATCACATGCCATTAGGAATCACATGAGAAGCAAAAGTAATATAAACACATTTTTCCCATGCAATTGTGGGTTTGGAAGTGACCTTGCAAGCAAGGTAATTGTTCAGTCATGAATCTGGGCATTGGCGAACGATGTTGGTGTTATCCGGGAGCCTAGAATCATGTGGAACTTGAGTATAGAAACATGTATGATAATATGCCTTGGGCCTCGCCCCTTCCCCTTGGTGCCTTAATCGGGCAGCCTGTCTGGGAAGTAAAGTATCGAGAATACACACACACATTCCTGACTGCTCGCATTCATTGATTAATGTAAATATATCAATCGGCTAAATGGACGCAATGCCGTCATGGCAGCGGGTGGCTAATGAATCAATGCTTTCCAAGTCGCAGCGGTCAGCCACTTGGGTCATTTGGACAGTAAGCAATACTATCCGATTTCTATCCAAGTCATCCAGGTAAGGACTGCGCATTGCGGCCCGCAGGCGACACGCACGAGAGTGGATAAATATATCAATGGGGCTAAGCTGATAATCGGTGTGGTATGTGTCGCACTGGCATGGAGGATCAACGGCATGTCATGCAAATATGGTCGGCAAAGGTACCAGGACCGTGCAATTGAATGAATGTAGGGTATCGACGTGCTAATAAGAGACTGTGCTCGATTAACGGCAAGGGTCTGACTGGTGCGGGCATGTGGATACCTGAATTGGTCAGGTACAAAACAATGTTGGCCACATCCCAGTCAGATGAATGCGAATCTGATGGTTACTCGAGGGTAAGAGCACACGGCGATAGGGCCAAAGTTCGTGGCATGGCATCGAGAGCACGCTGAGGCAAATGGGGCAGATTCCTGTACTTGTCTATTGTCAACGCCTCAAGCGAGATTCCTGGCACCCCTGGAGGATAAATGATTTCTAGAGAACATTGTACAGCTCGCTCATGCAGTTGTCCCATTGCAGAATCTGTCGCCCGGTATTTGTCGCGGTATGAGAGTGGAGCCTGTGTGCCGCCAACATTCATAGGGAACGTTGGACGTTCCCAGGCCAGATGAACGGTTTGGGATCAAGTGACACGAGATGTGTTAGAAACAAATTACGCAGAACATACGTCAACGAGACAATGAGAAAGAGATCACCGGCTCTACACAACTAAGAGGAAAGGTATGTCCCTGAGGATTTCAATACACATTTGACTATGTACCAACCACAACTCTGGTCTTGCGGTGCTGCCGCACGGTCCCTAGTAACTTCGAGATGACTCCTCACTTCGAAAATTCAAACATTATGTTGTTGGACGCATTCCACTGTTCCGTGATAGCTTGCTGGATCTTCAAGACTTGGGGCCTTTTTTGTGCTCGGTCCAGCACCGAGCATTGTAAGTCTACCGGACGGGCGAATGATGAACACGAAGTTGAATGAGGATATTGTCTATTGGCTCCGAGGCCTGACCCAGAGGCTCGGATATCGCCTGGTGCCTCTAAATCCGTGCGCCCGCAACATGGCATGCAGAGAGATAAGGTTCCTTCCACTTGAAAATTCAGATTGTCGCTTGTATACGTACTGTCGAGGATGACGCAATGGTCACTTGCTCAGCGGGCGAGCAGGTGTACGGGGACAACCTCCGCCCCCAAACGTAGTCCTGTTCAGGAATACAACTCGGAGGGGCAGGTGCGTGTGAATAGCGAAGCGATTGGACAACCATGTCCCCAAGGTGTCACAGTTTAGAACCATTGCAAGGTGGGGGGTCCATTATGGCCGGCATTGGTAGGAAGCTCTCAGTGAGGACAGGGTTACCAGAGGTTTTCAGAGCTAGCATGACATCACATATGTGCGGTGTGGCGGGCTTCTGTGTTGGTGATGGTGTATTACGCGATGGAGACGTGGACTATGCGTTAACCATGGCTAGAGCAGAACGCAGTGGCTGAGAGTCTGAGTTGAGAACTGGCGCTGCAGTTCAGCGTTGACAACCCGTTGCAGAGATCTGCTTCTGCCACCGACACAAGTTTCTTCTCAGCTGTAATCTGTTCGGACATCCTGTTTCCATCAGGAAGATAGTTTTTGAGGATGAGCCGTGGTTATAGTGTCATGAGGATGATGATGTGGCTGACAGGTTAGTGATTACAGTACTAATGTTGCCGCGGAACAGTGACTCCGCAGTTACAGAGTAACTGAGTCACAAGACTTTTGAAGAAGTCGAAGCCTCCGCGGACTTGGAAGAGTGCGGATATTGTTTCGATGAATACACCGATATTTTTCTCCCCGACGACACAAAACCAGAGGAACCCAATGGATGATCCTCATGTACACGCGCTGTATTGAGTTAGAATGGTCGTAACTGCCACGTCATAATGAGGCCGCGGGGTAACAAAATAGAGCACAGCAGCCGATATTCGAATTCAGTTATTATCTTAAATCTCCGATTGCTGTTATTTTTACTTTGATGTAATCAAGTGCTCATGCAGGGAACTCACAGAATTTACATCATGGTGATCTGGCTATTTGCTCCGGTGTTCCACATGCCACTTTCGTGCATCTGCTATTACTACCTCCTATCTGCTTCTTCCTCTCCTCACGAGCTTCGACATCATGCTTCCACTGGAAAATTAGGCAGCTCGCAACTGATTGCCGAAGAATGGTAGCTAGCCATATACACACTGGCAACAGCTCTAGAACTCTCTTCAATTATACATTATTGCAATTCTTTTGCATGTTATGTATAATGGTCTTTGCGACAAGCTACATACGATAATCGGCCCAGCTCGGGCTCCTATCCCTCCCACAAGGGAGCGGCTCATTCCGCCTACAAGGGTGGGGGATGAGCCGACTACACCCGATAGAAGCCTCCTTAAACTGCTTCTCAGAAGAGAGTTGCCTATAACCTAATATAACTCAGATGCCTCCCGGACCTCGGAACAGCTATTCGATCATTCGGCTGCCACATTCTTCCACTATCGAAATTACATTTACTCCGGGAAGAGAAGCGGTGAATCTTGGGATCAGGTAACACGAATTATATTAGAGGGTCGGAAGATCAATAGTGATATGCAGTCACGCACACACCACGGAGCAAACTGAGTAATTCTGAGCATCTTGGGTAGATTGAGGGCGAAGAATCAACTTACACGTACAGTATATCTCCTAATCTGGAAGAATCACCACTGTCCACGTCGACTCAGAGAGGGACAAGGCAGTATCCTAGCTTCTGAGCCAGGCCTCGAAGCGAGTAGGCAACATCCTCATTTGAGTTTGTCTCCGACCACCTATCCTGTGAATGATCAGGAGTTTCGAGCGCAGCAACAATCGGTGCCGGATTGACGATGTGAAAGGGACCAGCTCTGGAAGGCCCAGGAAAGTTGCTGCTCAGCACGATGGAAGAAGGGCGGCATCATGTCGGACAGGGTAGGGTCAATGGAAGAGGACCCTGCTCCTAAACCTTGAACAGGAAATGAGGTTTGGATTTGGAGTTTCAGCGATTCTCCATCGAGGGTGCCACCATGCGCGGATACCGCCACGGGAAACGCGTAGGGAGGCCGATTAACAGCTGACACAGTGCCAATATAGCTCGCTGGAAAGGCTGTGATAGAACCATCGGGCAAGCCAGTAGGCGCTTGGACCTCTGGGATATGAGGCCCATGAAGTGGAGTTGCCATCAGCGGGGTGACGATGGGGTGTAGGGGTTTCTTCATCGGCTGCGCTTTGACCTGTCGAAACTGAGTGTAGGTCCAGAAGAAACCTGCAAGTCTGTGGAAGACGAGCTACATACAGAAATAGAGAAGCATGAGAACGATGTTGAATGTGGTTTTGGAGAGGCTTCCTACATATCAATCCATGCACGCGGCTCAGCCAGCCTTTAGCCTCACTCAAACACTCCTGCCAAGCCCCAGCCGATTTTTCACTTTATCCAGAAAGTCCATGAACCCAATAGACAGAAGACGTACCTTGACCTCACTGGAAATTGTCATGGAGCAGGCAAGGCATTCAATCCGCATCCTGCGACAAGATTCACAGGATTGGGAATCTGGCGACTTAACGCATCCCTAAAAAAAACCGAAATGAGCAAAGTTTTAGGTAGAAGAAAATGTCATAGACACGATGTTCTGCACTGCAAGTTGAGAAGTCATGTAGACGTTGCAACCGTTAGATCGACCGAAGACATTTTGTACTCCTCCCAGGGACATGCCCGAAGGAGGTTCAAGTTTGAAAGGATTTTTCGGTGGGTTGTGGTTGTTATACGCTTATTGGAGAATCCAGAAGGACGCACCTTTCCTCTGAGTCGACAGATAAAACAACGTAAAGGTATGATGAGCATAACCAGTGAAGTGCGGGGTGGAAGAACATATACCTCAGAGTCTTTAAGAATGATGGAATAAACCAGGCGCGGGCTTGAGAAGCAAGCTCTTAAATCCAATGTACTTCCCGGGCCACTTTCGTGTCCACAGTCCGTGGGAATCTGCGAATATCTTCTGCACACGTGCTCATTCCACTAAATTTAGCAAAAGGCCCAGGTTGTCATAAATGTGCGTCAACTTTACCAGGATAGCTGTCGAGGCTCACACATCCCCAAATCCAAATGGCTTTCTATACTCGGACTTGTCGATCTCTAAATTCCGTATGCCACTGCCTGGGTGCATCACATGTTCAATAAACCAACACGGCGCCCAAACAGCGCCTATGGGATAGGGGAAAAAGGAGCAATCGAACAGAAAGGGGGCGAGTAGGTAAAGAAGACATTGTCAGGGACATAGACTCACTGAAACGTACGTGACTACATCAAGTCTCTTGTGGGCCATTCATCGATGGCAAGTAACAGAAGACGCATTCATCTTATCTACCTTCAACCATTTTCCGCTCCCACTAAACCTGGTCTCCGCACAGTTACTTTACGTCTTCGCTACTCCTAGTGCGCATTCTTGTGAGTTTACCCGCTGCTGTGAACCACCTACTTCCTGACTAGGGCTGCTTACCCCTGCTTCACTTTGGTCAACCCAGTTTTCGCGCATCCCACCTCCACCCCCATCACCTCCTGGATACCATTTTTCGGTTCAGTTGCATCTGCCACTGACCCAGTGTCCCAATCCAGACTGATTAGACGCGTGATAAATCCCTTTTGCTGTTTTTAATATAATCATTACACCCCAAATTGCTCTGTACGTACGGCTTCAGCTCCATGTGTTCAATGAAGCGAATAGTATGATGTGCATGCTTTTGCCAGCCACAGTGGGGAAAATTCGGAACAAAGTGATCAATACTCCGTAAATTACTCGAAATTTGCTCAGGAGGCCTAGACATTGAGCTCACTGCTAACTCAGCTATGCATAAGTCAGTTGTATTTTCAATGACTCCGGCCCTGTGGCGGACATACTTGGCGCTACACCATCACTTTTTCATAACGAAATTCGCGCATTGCATACCTGCACTTAGGAGCCCACCGCTGCAAAAACTACATATAGCTACTCTATACCTATGTCACTTGGGTTTTAGCAACTCAGGCGGCGCTACACCACTATGCTTCTTATTGTCTCAGGCCCAAATTTTCTCAAAGGGCTAGTTTAAAATATGCGTCCAAGCGCTGCACGTTGTATACCTCCACTTTGAGCCGCTTCTACACATCTGTATGTAGGTGAATTATATTACATACCAACAGCTCCAAAAATATCATCAACACAATTGTTGATCGGACAGATCCTTCCGAAAGGCTGTGATATCTTTGGAGCTATTGGTAATATGAATGACCTACATACAGATGTGTAGAAGTGGCTCAAAGTGGAGGCATACAACGTGCGGCACTTGGATGCATATTTGAACCAACCCTGTGAGAAATTTTTGGCCTGAAACATAGCGGTGTAGTGCCTAGTGTACTTACAATAACACTGGAGTTGCTAAAAACCCAAGCGATGTAGGCATAGACACACAGTGGTGAGCTTAAAATATTAGGAGAAAGGTGGACATCCCACATACCTTGTGCACAGATGCACGATCTACATGATTTCCCATCGTTCCCTTCTTGGTAATTCTCTTCCAGCTGCATTGCAGAATGCTTAGAAGCTGAAACTTTTCGTCTTTATCTCTCTCAGTTCGCTTGCTAAGAACTGAGATGGGATATCTTGTTCTTCAGCATCAGCAAAAAATTGTTATGCTCCTGAGTGCTCCGGAGTATCGAGAGCACTGGGAGAATCAGGAGGAGATTGGCCGGTCCAGGAACAGCCCATTTCCTCCAGAGTTGGCTAGGTACTCCAGGGCACTCCCAGGAGGGCCTGGAGCATTGCTTTGTGCACAAACATATCCAGTAAATACAATTTAAATGCTTCAAAGTGTATAGGGGTGAGAAGCTTCTGGGAGCTCCTGGAGCATTTGAAAATGAAAAGGAAAAAAAAAAAAAGAGGGAAGATCCCCCATGAATACCTCCTACCACAAGACTAACACAACAAGACACTGCTTAACATTTAGATCAAACACTATACTATATATCAAGGACACTGAGACTCACCAATATACAATCAAAATTTATGGCCTGATATATGATTAATCTGGCAACTTAATCACTTTCGGGCTGGCAGAATATGGGGGAGGGGGAAATGAGGGGGAGAATGAGGGGGGGAATGAGGGGGAATGAGGGGGGGATATAGAGGGAAATGAGGAAGATTTGAAAAATAGGGACTTCTAAAAAGTTGAAAAAAATAATTAGGGAAAAAATCAAAAAAATTCAGGAACTGTAGTGCCTTTGAAGTGCTTTCAGGATATATAATTATTTGCAAAATTGAGGAAGAAATGATGGAGAAAAATGGAAAATACTTTCGGAGACCCGAGAAATAATGAGAACTGAATTGATGGGAAAGTCTGAAAATTGAATAGGAAAGTGAGGGGAAGCCTTGTAGCATTGTTATTTTCTGCTGTTCTGATTTTTCCCGATTCTTCTTGGTCTCATTCCCAGCTGCTCCTCAATACTCCAGGAAGCTCCTGAAAGCTCCTGGGAGGGTCCAGGAGCAGCTGGGAGTGAGACCATGAACAATCAGGAAAAATCAGAACAGCAGAAAATAACAATGCTTACAAGGCTTCCCCTCACTTTCCTATTCAATTTTCAGACTTTCCCATCAATTCAGTTCTCATTATTTCTCGGGTCTCCGAAAGTATTTTCCATTTTTCTCCATCATTTCTTCCTCAATTTTGCAAATAATTATATGTCCTGAAAGCACTTTAAAGGCACTATAGCTCCTGAATTTTTTTTTGATTTTTCCCTAAATTTTTTTTTTTTCAACTTTTTAGAGACCAAAATTTTCCTCCCACTGCTCCTGGCACATTACATACTCCTCACCACTCCCAGCTGCTCCTGAACCCCCTCCCAGGAGAACACTATTGGCTCCAGGAGTGCCCAATCTGCTGTTTTGTCTCCCACATGCTCCAGCCACTCTTGATGCTCCGGAGCATAATGGACTTTTGCTGATGCATTGTCTTGGACAATGACTTGAATATCCTAGCGCTTACTGCTGAGCAGATAAAAAAAAACAATTTAGTTCGCTTGCTAAGAACTGAGTGCTTACACCGTGCTAGCATTTCTCACACAAAAATGCAGATATGCAATGTGCGAATTTCACTCCAAACAAGCGAAAAAGTGATGGTGTGGTGCCTAGTGCGTTCACAACAGTGCCGGAGTTGTTAAAAATGCAATTGACGTATTTATAGACACATAGCGGTAAGCTCAAAGTCTAGGTCGAGAAAAAATACCACACCCTGTCCCCTACTGTGGACACTGTTCTGGGTGCAGCCATACAGATGTAAGATAGAAGCGAGAAATATAATTTGGGGCAACGTCCGTGCGCATATATATACAGAACAGAATGAATTAAGAGGTGTGAGGCAACTCCTGTGCAGACTGTGCACTCAGTAACATCCGATATCTCCGGTGCCAACAGACTTCGCACAGTAGATTCTGTCAAATGGATGAACCTTCCCAATCGTACAGGAATATAGTTTGGTGGCCCTTCAGAGGTTACTGAAAGGTTTGCTTACTATTTTGGGGACGGTACGTTCCATTCCCCTGTTCGCCTCAGGCCTCAGGTAAGTCCGTCTAAATATAAGCTTTAATGTGCTGTATATTCAACGGGGTAGAGGTAAAAGGCTACCGGGCCTTTACAACTACTCCGAGGTATATATATGTATGTAAATTACATATCTCGGCACAAATAAATAAAGAAATAACCACATCACTATAATGGGAATTATAGTGAAGTAAGGTTAATCCCTTACAGTTACCTTTGCTCAGGAGTGGAAGAGTACCATGCGCGTCACTTGCCTGCTTCCAGCATTTACTTTCCCTTCCACACCATGTACCATATGCGCACACGACTGGATTCAGACAATGGCCAAATCTTTACATTTCCCTGTCCACTGCTGCAACCTTCCCACCATCAATAATACAGCATTTTCTTGTTCTAAATAGTGCTGTAGCACTTCTCAAGTGCTTTACACGATTCACTCTCAATTCCGATTGATCTATGAAGGCTTAATGCAAAAGTCAGATCTCGCAAACAAAGGCACTTTGCCTGTCCTTTCTTCTGTACCTCTCCCATGAGATTTCCGGATATGGACCAGTCTCTTCAACATGATCAACAACACATGCATGTGCACCAGGAACAATTGCAGCACGAGCAACAATGACTGGATATGGGCCTGAGTCTGAGTTTGGAAAGATAGGGGAAAAAAATAATGATCACCCTGATCGTTTTGCATTGACTTCCCCCACGTGAACATCACCAGAATTAAGTTCAGACCTTATTCAGTTTCACTTGTTCTCACGAGTTCCGAGACCGATAATTTTTTAATTTCTCAAGAAGTTGGCCTTCATCCCCTTGGAAGATATATAGGCCTAGTCTTGAAGGATGGATCTTTTCAGCCTTGCACTTCCCCTGTATTGTTCAATCACTTCGATTCCATGCCTTCGCATTGTTTTGTCTGTCGACTGAAAGGAAAGGTGTGTCTCTTTCAATATGTTTATCAGTACATACTACCCGGACAAGTATCCTTCTTCATTCTGCTTCAGTGTTTGCTCGCTCTGCAGCCATGGAATTACTCAATTGAGAACGTTTGGCATCAAAGGCGCTAAAGGTGCATTCTTGCATGGCTAATGTTCTACACTGCTGTCGCGGCATGGGGAAGACCAACTCCGTGTGTCATAAGACCAAGTCAGGATGCATCGCACCTCGGTCTTGTTATATATACGACACACGCCCTACATCAGCAAAAGGTCCTCAGGGTTTCACTTCAAATGGTTTGAAAACAATTGAGTTCACTTCTGAACTCAATTGAAATGTGACACCTTTACTAAAATGCTTTGGGAAATTGGTCAATTCGGCCAGTTTCATTGTATTAGAAGCAACAGGATCATCAGAAGTGTCCAAAGTTGACCGCGACAATTTCCTGATGTATAGCCTCCATCATCCGATAGTGCAAACGAGTTTCTTACTCAACATCATTTTCACAACTTTGTAGGGATGTGTCCAGCCCTTAGATTGCCAGCCTTGTGACGCATGCCACCGCATGCATGTTGAATGCATCCCCTGCCCGATAAAGATTTCAAATGTGGTCAAAGTACGCATTCGTCATTGTAGTGAAGGTCCGTATGATAGGCGAAGCACTGAGAATAACTTTGTAGAAATCGACCAGAGCTTGGGAGTGTCTGGAGGAGGTCAGGGCCTTGACTTCAGGTGACCCCACATGTGTTGAGATAGGTACATCTCTCTTTCTGAATGTTGTCATCCCTTCTCCATTTCTCTCTGTTCAATAGCACTGCTCCCCAGAACACGAGAGTTCCTTTCATATCTGCAATCAAGCCTTGGAGATACAATGGGTCAGCCTGTGGCTGACGTGAGAATCCCCCCACCATCTGCTATCGTTTCGCCGACGTTGCCAACCACAACCCATGGATGGGTAAACCAAGTGGAGACTATTTCCGCCATCAAGGGATCCCCCATCATAGTTCCACTGGCAAACGAACTCGGAAATGTGCCACTTACCAATGCTCCTGCAGTGTTATAAAAATGGGGCCTAATTGGCCCATTTCTATAGCGTCCAGGTGCAGGAGGGGGCCATGACATTGAGAAGATGTTACAATTAATGTAACAGATGTTGTAACAATGGGGTTTACAATAACATGGACATCGGGTGTTTTTGGATGATAATTGTTGGTTAGGTTGTTATTATATACATGTCACGTGATAATATACTGTACAGAGGCCATAAGAGGCTAAAAATGGGAATTTCCCATTTCCATAACATGCAGCCTTCTACCCACCTTCTACCTTGGGATTATACGAATACATCGGGAACATCGACCAATCATCCGTCTTGGATTTTGGTTCAGTCTCCTATCCTGCAGCTAGCTCTTCCGCTAGTGAGTTTATTCCCCATTTCCCCGCTTCCCTCCTGATTCCCGTGCAAGAGAGGGCATCCTGTGGCGAAAATTGGGATTTTCTGATGCCAGACATTGCTGTTAACTATGAGCTTGCAGGACCATCTACTGCGCTCCGTTCACAATCAGATGCCTCCCCTCACGAAACTCGTGGTGAGACTCTGGGAAATGCTGCGAGTTGGAACGAGGATGCTGTGAGTTGCCTTAGAAGTCTAGCTTGGAGTATGGGATACTGCCTCATCCCTCGCGGAGCGGCCATTCCTGGTGGTGGTGCTCTTGTATAGGGGAATTCGTTTGAGGGTAAGTGCCTTGTGTCTCCCTGCACGACTCAATGATGACATGAATTATTCATGTGGGTAGCGATTCTCTGTACCCTTTCTTGAAACATCATCAATGGTTTGGAAATTTGTAAATTCTGTGCTACCTTGAATCTTCGAGTGCTTTTACAGACTCGCGATGAATGTACTTGTTTTCAACCCCTGTGCCTGCATGTTTGCTAATATATATATCCGACTGATTGCTTGCTCTAAAGGCAGTCAACACACTTCATTTCCCCAGAGCACTTTTCCTACGATGCAGCTCTGCATTCTGCACGTTCATGTCATTCCCTCATCCTCGCATGCGTTGAAAGTGATTCGAAACGTAGACGGTGCATTCCATCAGAGTTTTCAAAACCAAGCTGCAATACACTCTTGCACTCACACTGTCCGACCTACCGTTCTTTTTCCAGATCTTACCGCTGAACCAACCTGCACTGTCGTATTGCCTTAGCTTCTCTCGATCCCTGATCATGAGTAAACATCAGACGACTGAACTGGACGTACACCTAATATATCAGCCTCTCCAAGCTCATGCCACCGACGCCCACTTCCAATGGCGTCTCACCGGTCCCACCAATTACTATGACAGTGCACTTTGACCGGGCTCGGACCTTACCAATTTAGGCAGCTTCGCGCATTGCGCATATCACATCTACGGGCACCGGCACCTAATAGCTCCTCCAGTTGCTGACTTTCCCCTGCCACTAGACTAACACTGCCTGTCCACTCTAGCGACGTGATATATCATGCAATCTTCATCGGCAGCTCTCACTGGCACGGCCTTCTGTGCGCGCCAACCATGGAATGCTTGGTGTCTCTTGCCACATGTCACGGTTCTGTGGGGCAGCATGTAGATACATGGCCTGCAAATTCTCCTTATAGAAACTATACCCGAATGGTATATTCAAGCAGTCGCGCGAGGGCTGCGCGCGGGCGCCACGCTCATGATCGCATGAGCATGTTCATGATATAGAAACCACTCGTAACATTCGCTTCCTGGCCAACTCGAAAGGCGCGCAGGGAGTTGATGGGCCAGTGCTGACTGGTCGCGATGATCACCTAGTTCAACTGCCATGCGATACTGAGTTCCGAGCTGCAGTCTTGGTCCCCAACTATTTCGTCGCTCCTATCCTGCGGTGCTGCTCTCCCTCACGTACTGATAACAATGTGTAGTGACCATCACCTTCCGAGCTTTTTATCCAACCCCGATAAATGGCCCTTGCTGCCGATGATGATTTTTTTTTCTGATCTCAGCTCACTTGATCAAGCGCAGACGCATCCTAGATATAGGCACGGAAGATCTCTGATTTAACAGTTTAGATCTATTCTATCATTTGTTATATGGGATGGCGTTGTCTGCGCTTGCGCTTCAGGGCTTGATTAGACTGTCGATAGTAGATCATCGACGTTGGGTAGTACAATTACCCAAGACATCATTAGGCTGCCATCAATTTATACCTGTCCGTAGTGACTTCGTTCACCGTGCTGAGCGGCGCTGTTGCAATTTCGGGATGGGTCCATTACACCTTGAGCCCCATGTCGGGTTTACGGGTGGTGGATTGCAAACAAACAACTCTTGATGCATTCAAATCCCAAGGTACCGGGGTGAAGTCGTACGAGGTGGCTTGGGATGGTTATGCATGGACGAAACACAAGACAGCACTTCGATATATATGACTGGCTGTATTCCGATGAGCCCTGTGGATGCAGCAATGCCTCAAATGGAGGGCGAGTTCCAGCTTAGGAGCCCGCAGAATGCCGCTGCTGCTCAAAAGTAGTGGTAATATGTACAGTACTAGTGGTTGTACTGAGGCTGGGTCGCATCACAGACTTAACCGGTGGATGCCAACTGCCCGCTGCTCTGCTGCTCCCACAAATCAAACGTGAAAACACGGCAGAATGAAAGCACTTGAATTTCGCATACTAAGTATCCAGCTATAACCTCTCGATGAGATCTTAGTTGACTGGTAGAAAGCCTGTGTAGTGCGGGCCAAAGTCCACCCATAAGCACTCTTCAGAGCAGCGTAAATCGTTATCCGTTGTGTGCTGTCCAATATCGCACAGCATACCAAAGGCACAGTTAGTAAAGGAGCACGGGTGGACCCCAACATGTACACAGATTTCATTGGGTAGTGATGCAAAGACGGCCTTAGATCCAACACAGTGGGGCGGTCATATTAGAGGAATACTGCGGGATGGGAGTGGAAATAGAACTCCGAGTCATTCGGAAACATTCACAGTTTGAGAGTTGATTGTACACACCACCATGAACGCATCCAATCTCTGTTCGCGTTTGGTCGATCACAGATACGAATAGCGAACCCTGACCATAATTCCTCTAATGAACAGTCACACTGTCAGGCCACTGCGAGTTCAGAATAAGGGAAAGACTGACTGTGGCGGCTATAAGGACAACGCAGTCGCCTCTTCTTTGGATCTCTCACCCTGCATGTGAGAGCCCAATCCGCAGAAGGCATTTTTTGGGACCCTCCTGAGTGAGCCGGGTTTTATCCCAGAGTCATGCGGCCCATGAGGAAGCCCATGACCTTTTAGAGCGTGTTGAGAAGTAGGATTGGCCAAGGTATAGATCGCGCCAGTGGTATGGGAAGCTGATTCGTGAATGATCCAACTTTTCACACGTCATCTAGCTATGAGTAGCTCCTCAATCAAAGTGAGGGTTCTACAAATTGGTCGCGCTTCGGTTTGCGAGGGCATCGAGTAGCAAAAGGGCATCTCCAATCGTCGTACTAAACTTCAACAGTGCCAGTGGTAATGGTGGGTGGAGAAGTTTAAGATTGGCGCACACGCGCAGGTCACAATTGAAGTATCAGAGGTTCCGGGCCTTGGAAGGAGCGTACCTTAAACCCATGGTGGCCGATCCGCCACCCTAATAGCCATTGAATTCTGACATCAAGCCACAGACAGTGTGGAAAAAACCCTGAGTCTTTGAAATGCCATACATCTCATGGAGTCGTCTGACAATGAGGGATCAGTTAAAAAATGATGACGGTAGTCAAGTCTGACGGTCGGAATTTGAAATGTCAGGTGATCTGTTTCAAGCTGTCAATATTGACCATCAGAGTGGCCGGGCCTCGACGATGGATGTCAGTTGAGGGGGAGTTCTGCTACCACAGCGAACACCTGGCACGGGCCTAAACCTTCACGCGGTGCCCCTGTTTAAAACTAATTAGGCCTCTAACATCTGAAGGGAGGATGACGTGGCCACCGTAGTAATGCCAATCAACCGCAACCCCGTAAGCCCAGAGCCACACTGGCTGGAGAGATGCAAGAGCGTGGGTGCATGTCCCGCCGTCAAGCCAACCCTTCCTTTTTCTTCTCACCACTACCTTTTTGGGATGACGAGCGTGATAGTGGCAATGCCAATGGTGACCTCCATAAGCCCAGATGGGACTGGCCAGAGGACTGTGGGTTCAAGTCCCACCGTCACCCCAACCCTTCCTTCTTTTTCTCTTCTCCACTACCTTTTGGGATGGTGAGGTGCAATAGTGGTAGCGCCAATGGTAGCCTCCATAAGTCCATGGGCAGGCCGGAGGAGTGCAGGTTCAAGTCCTGCCATCACCCCAACACCCTTCCGATTCATCTTTCTCTCCACTACCTCTTAGTGATGAGGCACGATAGTGATAGCACCAATGATAGCCCCATATGCTGACAAAAAGTTGACTGCAAGGAATGCAGGTTCAAGTCCTGCCGTCACCCTGTCAGGGACGTGTCCGGGGTAGAGGGGGTCCGGATGTATTGCCCGGCAGAAGGGCCCTTGCAGGGTGCAAACCAGGCGTGCATGCTGGCGGGTCCAGGAAGGGACAGCAGTCCCTGGCCACTTAGACTGAAGTGGAGAATGTGTTATTGTTATTAAAAGGGAAAACTATACTACTTACCTGAAGTGGAGAATGTGAGAAGAAGGTTACTTCTTCGGTTCCCACTTCAGGTACATTTATGTACATGCGGCTTGAGTCACATGACAAGTGCCACATCACCCTCGGAGACAGCTGCAGGCATCCGGGTATCCCTGTGGGGGATCCCGAGAGCGTCCGCTGCATGCGCATGTGCTGGGCACAGCAGGGAGCCGTCCGGGGTGTGTGGGCCGGATGGGTCAATAGTACATTGATACAAAGGAAGGTGGTCCGTGTAGATAGAAGGAAATAAACAAGAAAAGGAAGATGAGAGGAATGAGATAAAGAAAGGGGAAGAAAGAGAGAAAGGAAAGGGGAGGAGAGACAGAGGAAGGAGGAGGGAGAGGGTTGGACAGCGGGGAGCAGGTGTGGTGTGGCCAGGTGGGTCCGGGTGGACCCGGGTCAGGCGGGTGTGCCCTGACACACCCCAACACTTTCATTTCTCTCCACTACCACTTCTACCAAAGGCCTATCTGCCACATGCCTTTATTCAACAAGCATGAGCAAGATGCCACCAACACCCATCGCCTTTCACTGCCACTGGACCATTCACCAGCCTACCGTGACATAAACCCGTGAAAGCACCCTCCAACTCACCCACCCGCAAGAACTGTGCACTCAAACATTGACTTAACCATAGGCACACTGCAGCAAAACATGCAACCCCAACACTGGGGGTCGCATGTCCTTTTCTTTGGCTCTATCCTGTTGAAATAACCACCTCAGCCTAATGGGGCGTATGGTGTAATGGCTGTGCACACTGAGCTCGCGATCCAGAGGACTGGAGTTCGATTCCCAGTATGTCCAACTTTTAGGTTTCCCTAAAAGACCACATGCAAATTCCAACACGGTGGACATTCTGCAGAATACACCGAGCACACCCAAATCCAGTTGCTGCCATGTGAGCTGGGCATGTGAAGTCAAGCATTAAATTAGCCAGCCTGAACAAAGTTTCAGGGGGTGTAGCTCAGAGCACTAAGGACCCAAATCTGGCTGCTTCAGACCACATGACATGGACATGTAGGAGATTAGCAGTAAGTCCGGCCTGAATAT